AAATTTTAAACAAAAACACATAAAATATTTATTTATTTCAAATTTAAATAAGATAATTAAAATGAGCCACCATATCTGTTGTGTAGTGGGTTGTAGAAATACCAGCAGAAAAAGTGACTGCAAATTCTATACATTTTCTACAGCTAAGTGGAAAGAAAATCAACGGAAAAGTGGATCGCAGCGGTTAGAAGAATAAAGTAAGTATCATAACCTTATTGTTATAAAAATACAATTTGAGTAGTATTATGAATAGTTGTAAAATTGTTATGTTTAGCAAAAGAAAAATTATAAGTCAATAAATTGTTGTATTATCAAAATTTAATGCTTACTAAAAAAATGTTTTGTAAAACAATGTAATTAATACAAGCCTGAAATAATGAAAAAACATATTTATATATTGTATATTGATTATGTATAACTATTATCTATATATTAATTACATTTTATTTATAATAATTGTAATTTTATGATTAAAAAAAGAAAAATAAAAGTTATCACATAGCGAAAAAAAGTTTATTTTGCAAACAGTTTAATTAATACAATGCTGAAATTATGCGAAATATATATTTGTAGTGTTGATGGATCACGGGTTCCCAAGCCCTATGATCGCATTTGCAGTGATCGGTCGAGGTATTGAGTCCTACCTACTTGTCAACTTGGTCTGTCTTTATAATAATGTCTAAATATGTCTTTATAATGGGTCAAGTCTTTAGTTTGACCAAAAAAAAATGAGTAATTAATTTATTATTTACTTATTCTATTGATAAATATTATTTATCATTATTATATTGTTTTTATTAAGAACTATTCCAAGATTATGACATAAGCTTTGAGGCACTTAACCTTAAATTATTTACTGATTTCTTTATTTAATTAATGATTATACTTAACTATGTTTTAAGTACGTTGAAGTAAATTTAATAATTTCAATAAACATTCACGTTCACATTATTACGTATCTTGTTTATTATTATTTATAACAATTATTTAATATCTTTTTTCTTTAACAAACATGTAAAAAACCCATGAAAAACACACATGATAGCCCCAAGCAGTTCATATTATTACGGCGCTGCATGGGCGCTGCAGTCACGCTCGGAGCGCAAATAGCGATATCACGCTTGTGAAACGAGGATTTTTGCACTGAGTCTCTGATTTTTGCAATAGTACTCGCTTTTATCTGTGGATTTATGATATTGAAAAAGATTAAAACTTGTTTATACTTGTTTATTTATCCCACGTGAATATTTAGTAGTAAAAGCAGTGAAAGTATTTAAAAATGGCAGAAGAAGAAACAATTAAGTCTATGAATAATCAAGCAATTAAAATCGAACCACTAGAAAATGCAGCAGAAAACATTAAACGCGAATTTAAGGATGAATTTGATATTTTTGATGATAGTGTTAAATCTGAATCATGTACTGAGGATGATAAAACGTGTTTAGAAAGATTTATGAATTCCGAGGTGACTATAGAAGAAGAAGTTAAACAGGAATTATTCGAGACATATGTCGAAGGCAACATGCTTCTCATTAATGATCGGGCTCCTGAGTCTACTCTTAACAATTTTCAGGAAAATAATCAGGAAATGATTAGTGTCGATGATAGTGATTCTGATGAGACTAAATCAGTAGAATTCAAGTCGTCAGAGGACCACATAAAAGCAGTCTCTTTGACTGTGCCTTTTAAAGGTACAGTATAATATTTTAAAAATAATGTGTTTCTATATTGAATCACTACATATTTCTATTGAATTAGTTACCACGGAAATAATAGAGGCTGCACGTGTGTGGCTAGCTGCATTGGAACTTGCATATAAAACCCAGAATGAGCAGGAGAAGATGGAGAATATAAATCAATTGCAACTATAGTATAAACTTCTCTTTAAAAACCTTGTAATATTTATACAGAGTGCACTGTAAGTCTTTTTACTTTTTTGTTTATTTAAAAGGTACACAAACTCCATATGTGACCCATTCAAAAGCAAGTTGACTCTTAGTTCACACTGTAAATTAATATAATGTAATTAAGATATAATTTATGTTCCAATCAACAATCTTTTTACTATTAATATAGATTCCAGCGTGCTTCTACTCTCCTGGAGAAAACATGGTAAATTAATCAATATAATGCTTGCTTTCATAAGATATTTTCAATGCTAGGACTAAATATGTTTAATTATATAGGAAGAAATATCTCCAGGATGTGGATTCTATCTTCCAAAAAATAAAATTAAATATTTCGAGCAAATGTCCAGAGCAAATGGAACTGAAAGTGGCTGGATGAACATAGTAAGAGAGGTGCTGCTTCTTGTTTATGGGGAGCAGTTAAAAAATTTTTCAGCCACTGGAATGAGGAGTAAGCGACCTCCAATCGATCAAAAATTATTTGGAGGGCTAATTGGTAAATTTTTAAACATGTCTATATTGATATAATTGATATTATTATTATCTACTGAAGATTTGAAAAACATTAAAAGCTACATAACTGAAATATAATTTATGCACATGAATCTAAACTGTTTCTAATGAAATAAATTGATATTTGTAAATGTTTAATATGTGAATAATGCAAGTATTATTTTTTGTAGATTGGTGCCGTCGATTACAATTCAAGCTAGATAAAAAGACATATGTACATTATGTTAATAAATGTTGTGCCAATAAGAGGGTTAATAAAAAATAAATATAAAAATTGTTTAAATTACTTATTTATATATGTACCTACCTCAAACACCTTATAAATACATATATAATTGCAATCCATATGTATCATAAGGTCCTGACCTACCTACATTTTTATAACATTTCAGGAAAATTTTAAAATTGTAACCCTGATAGTTTTGACAGTTGGGCTCTTTTAAGTACCTAAGCATAGATAAAAGAAGAGTGTACCTAAGGTACCTTGAAAATGTAGGTTTTTTTAAGTTACCAAAACTGCTCAAAGTGGAGTCTAAGATCCCATAGTTTTATGTTTTCATAACGTTTCATGTCATTCTAAATCAAATGAAAACAATTTGAAAAAAGTATGTATATGGGCCGATTATTAATCTTTTTGATCTACCTGATTATACCAAGATTTTCAGGCGAATTTCTATTTCAATTATACTTTGATTTTTAGAATGTGTGTGAACTCACAATTCTAAAACAATTTTGAAAATTCAAAAACCGCTCGAAAAACATTCACAGTATCATTGGTAGGGAATGATAGTGGTTAGTTTTTGGTAAAGATCCGCAGAAATATGTTCTTGTAATTAATTGTTAAAAATTTTTCTTCGACAATTTTCATGTATTGTTTTAATGATAGTTATCATGGTCTTATAGATCATACTGAAATATTTCGGCCCTACCACAAGCCGTTCAATTTTAAAAATTCATCAAAGTTTTAAAAAAATTTGTTGATTTACTTTGGCGATAAAATTTATGCAATAAACAGTCCTACAAAAATTGATAGAATTATATTATATAAAAAAATTAAAATTTGGAATAATAGGCTACAATTTTTGAACATACATAACACATGTCTGTGCACTAGAATTAATTTAATTATAGATAATTTAAATGAGAGATCAATTGAGAATAGGAATGTTTAGAATCAAGTGAAAGCGAAAACTATTTTATCTTCAAAATAAACACTTGAAATTTTTATTTAAATATCTAAATTTCAATTTCGGTTGATTAAGTCAACTCTTACACATTTCGGGAAGTTCATGTAACTCTTTGCATCATCATAAATGGTAGAATATCATTGTCATTGCGTTTATTTATTGTTCTTCATTATAAAGCTGGTGAACAAAACGTTGATTAATTTTTTTTAACTTTCCGAAGAATACGTTTTTGTTTTCGCCAAGAATTGGATTTGGTAATTTCAATAGAAAAACTAGTAATCCCATATTATTCTATTGTTTAGGTAATTTTCTTTTAAATAAAACGTTTGTTAAACTGTTAAACGTTTAAATAAACAGTTGAGACATAGAGACCCATAATGAATTTGAAAAGACGCGCCACTTATTAAATATGAAAACGACTTGATAAGTGTCTCATCTTTCTAAAAGCGTTCGCTGTGCTCCAAATGTCATATAATAAATATTAATTCAGTTGAAATCATTTATGATATTGAAAAAGATTAAAAGTTGAGTTGTGAATATTTAGTGAGTAAAAGCAGTGAAAGTATTTAAAAATGTCAGAAGAAACATTTAAGTCTGTGAATAATCAAGCAATTAAAATCGAACCACCAGAATATTCAGTAGAAGAAATTAAACCCGAGGTTGAGGATGAATTCGATGTTCTTGATGACATTGCTGAATCTGAATCATGTACTGAGGATAATGGAACTTGTTTAGAAAAAAATATGAATTCCGAAGTGACTATAGAAGGAGAAGTCGAACAGGAGTTAATCGAGACATCAAGTTATGAATGTGACATTTGCCATCGATCATTTGCAGAATCACATCAATTAAAAGATCATGCTGTCGATCACATGCCTAGTAATAGCAAAGAAAGCTCTTTCGAATGCGAAATCTGTAATAAGCCCTTCAACAAATTGGCTTATTTAAAAAAACACATGCTCATTCACAGTGGCAATCGCCCCCATGAATGCAGTATATGCAGTAAGACGTTCTCACTATTAGGTAATTTGAAACGTCACATGCTCATTCACAATGCAGTACGCCCCCATGAATGTAGCATATGCAATAAGACATTCACAACTTTAAGCATTCTGAAAAGCCATATGATCATTCACAGTGGTGAACGCCCCCATGAATGCAATATATGCAAAAAGACATTTATAACATTAAGTTTTCTGAAAAGTCACTTGCTCATTCACAGTGGTGAACGCCCCTATGAATGTAGTATATGCAGTAAGTCCTTCACACTATTAGCTGGTCTCAAACGTCACATGATTATTCACAATGAAGCACGCCCTCATGAATGCAGTATATGCAATAAGACATTCACACAATTATGTAGTCTGAAACGTCATATGCAGAGTTGTCATAGAGAAAGTCCTTATAAATGTGAAATATGCAATAAGGGATTTACTCAATCCAGCAAATTAAAGGGACACATGGCACTTCATAGTCGGAAGCATGAGGAAAATAAATGAAGAATTAACCTGTTTGTTAAACTGAATTTGAATATTTGGAAACATGTCTTAAAATATTCTTACATGTAATATAATGTAAATGTATATGTAAATAGTATAAAATATAGTATATGTATTATGTATATGTATTTATTGATAATCAAGATAACTTTTGTTACATTTTATAATTTTTAACTTCCCGTAGGGTAGTTATAGTAATGGGCCGAAAATCCGAATAGAAATTTTTTGCATATCTTCACGTTTTGAATGATATTTTAGATAATATTTTGGTATACACCGCAAAAATGGATGTGTGTGTGTGTGTGTTTGTTTTGTATGTCTGCATATTTTTAACTTGCCTTAGGGCAAATTATAGTAATCGCAAAAAAGTCTAAAATGAAAAATTTTATATATCTTTACGTTTCAAAACCTTCTGAACATTTTGGCATACCTTAGAAAAATGGATGTATGTGTGTGTGTGTGCGTGTATGTGTGTGTGGAACACGGATCAATCGATTTGAATATTTCAAAAAACATTCGATCCGTATTGATAAGGAGACGTGCTGATTAGTTTTTGGCAAAGGCAGGCCTAGCCGTTCCGAAGGTACGGGGCAAAAAGTGCCAAAAACGGTACCTCTGTTTTCAAGAGAACGGAGCGTCCGATTTTAAAAGTTCAAATACATTTTACTTGTATTAACAAGATGAAGAAGTGATCAGTTCGATCAACTTTTCATGAAAGCAGGTCTAGCGGTTTCGGAGATCTAACGAAAAAAGTAAAAAAAAAATGCCATTTGGCGGTCAAAAAATTAGACATATGCACATAAAATTATCAGATATTTTATAGAGATTTTAACAATAAGTATAAATTTTGAAATTAAAAGTTACATTCCTATGGGTGCCGTACCAATGTTTATCCGTTAGACAGAGACGCGGCGCTTACGCGCTTTATATTTTGTCTCTATGCAGTTAAAGCAGTACGATTCCTTTAAACAAAATTTCAGATCTTCCAAAATATGTCAAAATAAAGAATAAATTTTGTTTAAAAAAAAAATTTTTTTTTACAATTTTTTTTTTCAAAAAGAGTAATTTTTTGTCCAATTTATAGTTTCTCAAAAATATAATTTTTTCGAAGTAAATTTTTTTCAAAAATGTTATTCGTTTTTAGAAAAATAATAATTTTTGATACGGAAAGTTCCAGCAATTTGCCTTAAGTCACGATGCCATGCGCCCACTAGTTTTTAAAACGTTCGATAATGAAAATATCGGTAATGTTCAATCATATATATTTTTAAACATTTTCTACAATCATTTATAATATATAATTAATATTATAATTAAAACCTATATATGTACCCAACTGCTAAAGATACTTATATATTCATATATTTGAATTTATAATTATACATAATGTAATTGAAATTTCTATCTGCTTTCTACAAACAAATAGAAGTCATGCAATCACGTTAATTAATATTTTTATTGCTAATTACATTCTTTTAATTCAATGTAGTAGTTTAGCATTTTTATTATTACATTTGCATGTCATATTAAATATGTTTAATACATGATAATTATATTGTATTGACATATTATTAGTTGTTATTAAGATAATTTATTAAATAGTTAACCAGTATCCTTATAAATATATTTAGAACTGATGATCTCAAGCATAAAATAGCAACAATTTATATGATTTTCATCTTATTAAATATAATTTTATTCAGTAATTACGTAACATTTTGTGGCACAACTTTAGATTTATACATAAGTAAAATAATTTTGTTGATAATAAATTAAGCAAGTAAAATGGAGTATTTCACTAATAATAATACTATTTTTTATTAACAAGTTCTATTATATTTTGAATTAAATTCTTTGTATCAATGGCACATTTCGAAGTTTATTAAATGTTAGGATTTATTATACAAAAATTTATATATAAAAAATGAAAAGCAAACCATAAACTACTAAGTTTCTTCTTATTTTCAAAAACCAATTAAAAAATGTTTGAATAAAATAACTTATATTGAAGTCAAATATTGAAATTTTGGCGATAGCATCTCATAACAAATCATTTTTTTTCAACTTTGGCTGGTCAAAAGTGTATATTTCAGGTGCACAAAATAGTAAATGCTATCGGCATTTTTTAAGTAAAAATACTCACTAATAGTCCGTCACATTTCATTTGAATCCTATAAATAGAAATACACCGAAAATAAAATCAATTTAATTATCGACGCCGAAAAACTAGTTGTCACGAATTACAAATATAGTACGTATTTTTAATGGCTCTTTATTGAATTCGTGAAAAATTAAGTTCCAAATTTATATTATTTGCAATTCAAAATTTAACCCTTAGCACTCGCAAATTGCGAGATTTATATGTATTTTGGCTCCGAAGCGGCGGCATCCGAGTGGAAAAGGTTAAATATTGTAAACCACTATTCCAAATTTTTTTAAAAGCTAAAGAATAATCAATAAATTAGGCACATGCTTTTAGGCATTTAATTTATCTATTTACCAATATTGAGAAAAATATAGACAAAAATATTTTGAAAATCAAATAAGAAAAGTGCAGAAGATGCACATTATGGACAAAATAATAATGATGTTCGGACGTATTTTTATTTTATTATATTGGCCATAAAGGCGGCAATCTTCATGGCATTGAGCTTTTACACCGCTACCCTTATCGGACTTATGTTTCTCACTTCTAAAACTAAAATCCGCGTCACAACATACGTAATAAAATAATCAATAAATACATCTTCTCCAATTCGAACTTAGTTACAAATCATTAGTGTAAAAAGAACTTGCAATAAATAAATAAATTATACCAATAAATCAGTGTTTCATACAGTCCACAGCTACAACGGTTAAATTATAATCTGAGTTAATCGAAGGAGAGACTTTGCATTATAATCTGAGTAATCCGCATAAGTAAACAGAAATCCAGTCTTCTTGTAATAGTTGGCTTTAATTATTTGTATCTTGCGTTGTGTAAGTCCGATTGGGATCTATTAGGCGGCCTTAGAAAATTGAGATTTAGTACTGTAACAACTTTTCTGTTTCTGGCAGTTTTGTAATTATTTGACTCAATTTTGTTTAAAGGCGCATCAAAAATGGATGCCATCAAAAAGAAAATATGCTGTATTTTACACTTTTTGTTCGATAAAGGCGAAAATGCAAGGCTATGCGGCTGGAAATGTGAATAGTGTTTATGGTCTTGATACTGTAATAGCAGTTTGGGTTTCATCGATTTATTCAGGCAATTTCAACACGAAATTACTTTGTGTAGATATTTTGTACTCTCTGAGATGTACATAATTTATATTAAAATTAAAAAAAAAAATGGTCGACAAATTTATGAAGACCAAGCGTCATGCAAGTCATCCTCACTGGAAGGTAAATTGTCGAAAATGTCGACAAAATTATGGAGTACAACCGTCATTAAACCATCTTCGCTGGAAGGTAAATTGTCGCAAATGTCGATAAAATCGTAGAGCCCAACCATCATGTAAGTCATTCTCACTGGAAGGTAAATTGTCAAAAATGTCGACAAAATCATGCAGTCCAACCATGGTTGGACGTCATTTGAATTATCCTCACCGGAAAGTATATCCTCCAAAATGCGACAAAATCATGGAGCCATCCTCACTGAAAGGTAAATTGTCAAAAAAGTCGACCAAATAATGTAGTCCAATCGTCATGTAAGTCGATTTTGATTGCCCAAGAGCTAAAAACTGCATGAAAAATCATTTGGCACCATTTGAATAACACTGGATACAAAAAATGCTGGACTAAGTTTTCATCTGTGCTAAATCGCAAAAAATCGCCCCATTTTTGAAGCCTTCGGTAATTGATCATAAAAAGTAGACCACTTGCGACAACGTAGTGATCAAATCATTAAATTATTAATAATAAATAATATTATTAGTTCCGTTAAAACATAATTGTTTGGATTTAAAATAATTATACCGCAATCTTGCAATTAGATTTCATAATATATTACCAAATTTGCTAGGTTTGGATCTACCAGTTTGGTTAGAAAAAGCCTTTCTGTAGGTGAAATATTAGATGACGAGAATTATAATATTAAACAATAATCGTTAAATTATAAATATATAAAGCAAGCATCATTATAACATTATATCGGCTCCAAAAAATTGTATATGTTATTAAATAAAATAATATGATATAATAAATACACTAAATTTCATAAAAGTACAACTGATATTTTAAGTATTTTTTCCATTTTAGCTCGAGACCATCGTCTTTAAATATTCTATAGAAAAAGTCATATTCTCGTGCGCAGCAAGTAGTAATTATTTAGATCAGTTTATCATTTAGGACCATATAGTTTTTGAAGCGTAAAGTACCGGCGAGGAGGCCCAAGGTGCCGCAGAGATCGGTGACGCAAACCAAGGGCCGCCGTGGCGCACTCCTGCGGCAATCGGGCCCAAAGTTGCGTCTTTTGTGGCCATCACGTGATGCTGAGCAGCGGCAGCGCTAGATCGCGAATGCTGGGACAATTTGGAAGCCTCGTGTTCTGAAAATATTGAAGGCATTGTTTAAAAGTACGTGTTATATTTTGATATAAGATTAATAGATTATTTTTTTTTAGCCTATTATGGGTCGATTCTGCCGCACAACTGACCAATGTAATGGTAAGGCCATGTTACCCTCCAACTTCCATACATTATGCTACCGAATCATATTGAATACTGTCAAAATGCCATGCATTTGCTGTGCATGCGTTTTACACATAAACTGCAAAGCCATTCGTATGATATGAAGCTGTATCAGAAAGACCCTGTTATAAAACATCGTTTTTTGACATTTGGGAGGTTTCTAGCTTAGGTTTTCTATCTGACAACCTGAGAAAAACGCCTGACTGCAAAGCAACCACATGGCTCTTCTCAATAATTAGTATAGAAAGTTCTACATAACATAGCCTTGCCATAATATTGATCTGTTGTGCGGCATAATCGGTCCATTAATATACATTCAAATGGTGATAATTTCACCATTTGTATTGTTTATAAAGTAAAACACTTCCTGTGACAGAAAATCCTGTTACAAAGCAAGTAGGTGGATATAATGTTCCTAAATTAAATACGTTAATATCTTAATATTTGAAAGCATGAGGCATGAAAACCAAACTAAATTTTTAGAATATTTATGAGAGCTTAATTGAAAAGCTATGAAAGTTACATTTGTTTTTTTATATTTGTAATTATTATTATTGTTCGAAATGCTCATTTACGTGATGTGATTATGTATATGCATTTGTTCGTCAGAAAAAGATTGAAACCAATTTGATTTTTTTTGAATCGTTTTTTTTATAACCAAATTATTGGGCCAATTTTGCCGTAACTGGTCGTAACATAGACAGTAAAATTGTCTCTTGGTCTCTTGGTAGGAAAATTATTGAAAATGTCTATCTAATTGTTGTACGATCAGGCGTTTTACTAAGGTGACCATATTTGTTCAAGTCGAAACCGGGACGGTAATTTTTAGTTATCCTAATCCGTAACGGGAAAAGGGTGTGAATTCTAAAAAAATTAATTAGAGTTTAAAAAAACAAATACCATTTAAGAATTCAATAAAAATCCGTTCTTTTTAAATGAGTTTTTTTTTAATCAGACATACTGACTAAGAACTTTATTATTTGATAATATGTAATATTTTATCTCATATTTTTGGATCTATGTTTTTTCAGCTTTCAAAAATTTTATAACATGTTGTTCAATTTTTTTCTTAATTATTTAGAAATAATTAGCACATTCATTCGCATTATCAAGACGTTCATTTTTATAATGTTTGTTAATTTTCGTAAAATTGGAAATAAAACTATGTGAGAGGCTATTTTAATCCGCTTTTTTCATATAAGCATATTAGTTGTACATAACATTTTCAGATATTGGACAGGTAGTTGTAATTTGTAAGATCGAACAATCAATTTAGACCTATACTTTTCAAAAATCCGGGACAATCTGGGACAAAAGATCTAAATCAGGGACTAATATTGCTTTTTACACATAAAAGCGTGTATTCTAAATGAGCATCACGAACACGCTGTTATCATAACATTCTTTATTGTTTTGTTTATATGTAAAATACGCCTGATCGCACAACATATATACAGCATTTTTACAGTTTTTCCTACGAAGAGGCAAACATAACACAGCGTTGTCGTAACGCAGCAGAATTGGCCCAATTGGACCAATATATTTCTTAAGTAAGCGAAATAATGAATTAAATTGTTATTAATCAAGAGGTAGTTTTTATATGCAATTTTAATTCAAGTTTATGATATACTTGTAATATGAATTCATAACATATTTTTGGGTTAATCTTCATATCTTGGCAGTGAAAACTTTGAAAATTTTTATCTATTTACTGCGCGATCAAGCGCACTTTACATAAAAACAAGCACAGGAGAATGTTATGATAACTGCATTATCGAAGATTCTGTTATCATAAAATTCTTTCTTGCTTGCCTATATGTAAAATACGCCTGATTGCACAGCAAATAGATAGACATTTTTACAGTTTTCAATACCAAGAAATAAGCATAACATAGCGTTGCCATGACAACGTCCATGAATTTACAAGATATAACAAAAATGTTTTTTTCGAGAATTTGTAATTAAAAATTTGCATAATATAAATCATTACGATATCTTATTGGGGCTCTTTTTAACGTTTGAGTAATTATTGAACATATGAACATGCAAAGACATTCATATGGATGTGGTGAAATACATATTATAAGAAATGTAAGAATGTAAATAAAAGATATTCGGTACATATATTTTACTGGTAATGCGTTTTATCATTGATATCATCAAGGCTGGCTCTAGGGTCCTCAGTGCCTGCATGCTATTTTTTTTCTAGCGTCCCCTCCGCTATTATTTTAACTGTTTTAACAGTTTATTAATAAAATTATATGAACATTTACGCTGATTTTTTAAAATACTTTTTAATAATTCTGGATTTGGTAAAAAATAGATCGATGAGGCAATTCGGGGTACTCATAATCAAACTGTTGTGTCTTCTATCGCTGCCAAACTACCGAATTATTTCTAAATTCTTATTTTCAATCCAAACTTCAATACTAATTTCTATCGTTGTCCTAATAGGACATCCAAAAATTTCAATATTTTCATTATAGTTTGCTACAATATTATTAAATTTTCAATTATTTCTAACGCATGTTTATTATTAATGTTTGAGTTTTGAATAATTTTATTTATTTATTTTGGCAATTTTATGCGAAATCCAAAGCGTCGAATTGTATGCACTCATCTTTAATTTCCCATCGTGTTTTAGATTGTTGTTTTAAAATTAAATTTTTAACGTTTGTTCAAAGGTTAGTAAAAGATGCAAAAAATTATATATTTTTTGAATGATATTGAATAAACTATATTATAAATTCATATCCAAATCTTGTATTTGCGCCCCCTAAGGCGTGCGCCCGCATTTTTCGCCTTCAAGGTAGAACCGGCCCTGACTATTATTTCCTCAGGACGATATTTTATTTAATTTGTAAAACTCTTTTTTATTGAAATTCAATAAATCAATATCTTCATGTAAACAAAAAACACTCACCGGTACGCTTAATCTCAGCAGCAGCCGCAGCAGCGGATTTCTGTATAGCTGCAGCAGCTTTGGCTTCCTTAGCAGCAGCCACGCGTTGTTTGTGGGCGACATCTGCTTTGGCATGCGCAACGCGCTGTTGGGCGTGAAGAACCGAAGACGCTGCTGCGGCAGCTTCGGCCCTATGCAGAGCGGCAGCTTGTTCACTATAAAATAATACAGAAAATAATGAATATTGAGGAGCATGGTATGGTGCCCTTAGTCAAATTACTGGAACTTTCCGCAACATAATTTTAAAATGTTTAAAGATATACGGGTCGATTGTGATTAGTCGTCGTGTATCTGAATAAAGATCTGTCGATGTATGCGTAACGGCATCAACGTTGTATGCGTTCCGATATCAACAAGAAATTCGGCATAGATAAATAAACATTTTAAAGTTACACCGCAGTACAAATCTTGATTTAATGAAATATGCCTGAATCAGAAGAATATTTTACCCTGTTTCTTGAAAATAATAAAACAAATTAATCATTTGTGCCGTTTAAAAAACGTAAGCTTATTGATTAGAAATAATTTCTATATTATTCGTAGTTTCTATAAATCTTTGAAGTTATTAAAATAAAAAATATTTTTTAAGCAAGACATATATTACAACTGTTCAAAGATTGAGATTATATCGCCTGCGAAAAAGTAAAAAAATACAAGCAGTCAATGCATGTATGCTAATTTTAATTATATGAAGTTCTTCAAACACAATTACATGATGAGTGAAGTTATGTAAACAATATTAGCGTTGTTTAACATAATCTACTGTGTGAACGAATATTATAGAATTTATTAATCAGCAATTACATACTTTATTTCTCTAATGAAGGTTCATTTCTAAATGCTAATTACAATAACAAACCAATCATGCCTTATTTGAAGTATGACTTCAATTACATTTTTTTAAATATTATACATATTTTTAATGCTATTATAAATACTTAATTTATAATTTATCATTATATAAATGTGTATAATGGTTGACACTAATAAATGTGCGCATCACGAGCGTTACCATATTACTAATAAACATTATTCAAAATTGTTATAAAATATATTTATTTTTACTTAAATGCTATCTTGTACAGTAGCAAATAACATTTACTTCTATCGCGTGTGAACCTTACACGCACTCTTTTTTTTGGAAATTTTTAAACCCATTCAAGTGGGTTCGTGAATATTGTAGAAAATGTTGAGAGCATTTGTATGAATCACGTAAATCTTTATAAAATATCCGATTATTTGATGTGCCCAGTGGTGTTGTCGGGCCCGGAACGCGCCGGGCAAATCATTTTTGGGCCGGCAAAAAAAATTTAAACAAAAATCACTACATACAGAAAGTGAACTCAGTGAATTTTATAAGTTATAATTTAACTATTTTTTATTAAACGTTCCTATTATTGTAATAAACATACATAATGTGCACAAAATGGGTTTTGTAATGAATTTTGTTTCATTCCTTTTCGAAAGGAACCGGAACAAACATGAGAACCGTTTTTTGAACCGTTTTTTTTAATTTTAGCGTTCCGGCAAAAAAATATTAGCACAACACTACTGGATGTGCCTAAATCAAATGGTAATTTTTGACCATCAAATTTTTAACTTCTGCTAGGGTAAGTTATTGTAATCGTACAAGAATCAAAATGAATTTTTTTTTCATATCTTCACGTTTTGAAGGTTTCTGATCATTTTAGTATGCCTAAAAATGGATGTGTGTATGCATGTGTATATATGTATGGATAAAAATTCTCGTCCACGTTTTCGGGCGCAAGAATCAACCGATTTGAATCGTTCAAAAAACATACGATTTCTATTGATAGGGAGATGTGCTGATTAGTTTTTGGCAAAGCCAAGTCCAGTAATTTAGAAGATACTGAGCTAAATGTGCAAAAAATATCAGTTTTTGAAAGAACAAAGCAACTGATTTGAATGATTCTGCTTGTGTTGACGAATCGAAAATAATTCGGATTTTAATTTTAAATTGATTAAGTTTGGTTATTTTCTTTTCTGTATACATATATAAACGTCGTCGCACAATTCATAAGCTCTCATATCTTGTCTATAAAATATGAATAATGAAAGTTAGAGTATTTGTAATTATTTATTTGAAAACATTTAATATTTTTCGAATATTTTATTACGGTACGGGAAGTTCCAGCAATTCGACTTAAGGTTTCTAGGTGTCCCTAAAAATGTTTTTAGAATCATTCAAATCGGTCGTTCTCGTAAAAATTAAATTGCTATTTTAACTACATTTACCAAAAACTAGCATGTCCCCTTTTTATGCAAACCGAAGCAATATGAGAATTTTGCATACAAAATACAACCCAGATACACACGTAACTACCACTTCATTTACCACCGATGGATATAATAATTATTGGTCTCTACCCTGGAAAAGATTCGAGACTCCAAAAATATAGACTCTCGTCACTTAAAGAGAGAGGCACACATAGCCGGTAATAACATGTATTCGAAGCCAAAAAATATTTGGACTAACTACAGTAAAGCAGTACTCTGCTGCGCGCGTTAGAAAACATTTCGCTCTCTGAATTAAATCGAATTATTCAAATCGGTTAACACGTGCTCTTGAAATCGTCGACAAAAATTTTGTCCACACATGCATACATATATACGCACATCCACCATAGACCTTATATACATGGACTGCTAGTCCTCATATATTTCTCAGGTACAAAAGTGTCAAAAGATGTTCTATGGTATGAGGGCATATGAGGGTAATTTCGCGGCCGAGATATGTCAAAAATACCAACACGTCAATTGCACTCGATCGCTTAAAAGTCAAATGAAAGTCCGTGTATAAAATATATATAATATACAATTATATATATATATATATATATATAATATACAATATTAAATAATATACAATTTATGTTGAACTAATGAATGTAATGAACTATTTATTTATTTATTTATTTTAGTTATACAAAGTGTTTAAGGGAAATTAGAAAAAAAATTAAAAAAATATTTTACATGTTATAAAATTTACTGAAAATAAGAACATTTGGCTAGAGCTATTATGGGACTTAAGAAAGAAATAATTGCATAATTATTTAAAAGTAATATATTTATTATTGGTGTTTAAAAAGCACATATTTCGTATGAAAGTTGCGTACATGTTTATCAACTTTGCTTTTTTATGTTCTTCATGGTGCATTCTATTTGTTAAGTACATTTTACCACAGACCAAACATATTTTAGAAAATATTTTACTTCTTATTAGATTTTGTCTGCTTCTAACAATTTTGAAACGCGTATTTTTATCCTCTTTTAGATAAAAAACACGAGCGATCAAACATCTCGTAAACCCAAGTAACAGTAAAATTTAAGCGATCGAGAGCATTCGACTAATCTCGGTAAAGCTCGTGTTCGTATTTGACATATCTCGGCCGCGAAATTACCCTCATATGCCCTCATACCATAGAACATCTTTTGACACTTTTTATGCGCTCAACTAGTCCATGTATCGTATAAGGTCTATGACATCCACCATAGATCTTATATATATATATATGTATCGTATAAGGTCTATGACATCCACACAGAAAAACTTTTTTTAAGGTATGTGAAAATGTTCAGGAGGTCTTGAAATGTAAAGATATGCAAAAATTTTCAAGTTCGATTTTTTGCGTTTGCTATAACTTACCCTGTGGGAAGTTGATAGAATATAAAAAATATAGATATATTGCAAGAAAATGAGGTCCCCGTGGAGAAGTTATTAGAACTACGGGATTCAAAAATGGATTGTTTAAGAAAAATGTTTTGGAAAAGCAGATTAGCGGTTTTGGAGACTATAAAAAAACGAGTGCGCGTAAGGATCACACGCGATTGAAGTACTGTACAAAGTAGCAAATTTATGTTAAGTAAATATAAATATATCATATAACAATTTTGAATAATTTACACTAATAATGCACACATTCATTATGAATTAGTGTCGATAATTATACACATTTATATAATGATAAATTAAAAATTATATATTTATGATGGCATTAAAAATATGTATAATATTTACAAACAAAAATGTAATCAAAGTCATACTTGAAATATGACATGATCGGTTTGTCATTGTAATGAGCATTCAGAAACAAACCTTCATTAGAGAAATAAAGTAATTGCTGATTAATAAAATCTATATTATTCGTTCGCACAGTGGATTATGTTAAATAACGCCTAAACAAATATTGTTTTCGTAACTTCGATCATCATGTAATAACTGTGTTTGAAGAACTTCATGCAATTAAAATTAACATACATTTATTTACTCTTTGTATTTTTTTACTTTTTCGCTGGCGATATAATCTCATTCTTAAAACAGCTGTAATATCTGGATTTACCTAAAAAATTGAAGCCATACTTTTATATTTGTTTTATTTATCACGCCCTGCACATAGCTTGATCTATGGATCATTTTCTTTTTTATGTGAACGTTAATGCAATGATCATCATCAATATTACGAGGTAATAAATTAACCATATTATTAACGTCAACAGGCACATTTATAATTTGGCCAAATATTCCAAATTGTTCATTTGCATGTCGCAATCGTCTAATTTGCATGAAATACAACCTAGGTGAAATTAACCTTTCAGATAAAGCATCTAGTTTAGGTAGATAATTTGGTATAGGTGGATATACAAACCCGTTAAATTTACAAAGTGGGAATTTCACCCAAATTTAATGCCTTTCGACACACAAATCGACCCACAAATACGACCAATCAGAATCGACCCGTATAGAAATCATATCATCGAGAGCGAATGACTCTCACTTCAGCTTGGCATAACAATTTCCGTTGCATTTGTACGGATTTACAAGCATGTCGCGCCTAAAGAAGTTTTACTTCAATAAGTTAAAAATGCCATTTGGCGGTCAAAAACGATCATTAGACATGTGCATATGAAATTATCAGATATTATAGAGATTTTAATAATAAGTAGAAATTTTGTTTACACTACAATGGGTTTTGTACCATGATTTAAAATGTGTAACCGCGCCGCTTATGCTCAATGATTTTTCGTCTCTAAAATAGCTACGCAGCGCTTTGAAATCGATTCAAAACTTAAAAAAAATATTTATAAGATATTTTTTAAGAGTATTACCAATTTAAATATTGACTAATTGAAAACC